TTGCAGCATGTCAATCAAGGTCGAGATTGAATCGCATTGAGAAGGAAGGGAGACAGATCTCAATGTCATGATAAAAGGAGCGGGGACGGGCTTCAGAGAAAGCTGGTAATCGAAGAAGTAGTGAGTAGGAAGGCTGATGGTGAGTAAAACGAACAAGATGGGGGCTATTGAGCTTGTTGAACCAGTGAATCTTTCGGTCCGGCCTTCCAGTTACGGAGCGGATTGTGTTACACCCTTCTGTTCATCTCATCCCAGTTGTAGTTGATCCAATCGATCCAGAACCTGCGGTAGTTTAACTAGTGAAAGCAAGGCCAGGAAAGAGGAAAGTAATTCCCTTCTTTCGGTAAAGAATTTCTTTGAACTTCTCTTCCAATTCTTATTTTAACTTTATCTACCATACTGGCACGGACCTGCACAGGAAATAGCGATCCTACTAAGCCAATTCTATGGATTCGACTACCACCGGGAGATAAGGCGCTAAGAAAACAAAGCGCTCCTCTCGGAAGTTTCCAGGAAAGGTCGAATGTTAACTAACGATTGAACTCACGGGCAGCTGTGAAAAAGAAAGAGGAGACCTTCAATCAATGCTTTCATGCGAAGTCCTTGTCATTGTGTAAAACTGGTACTTTCCTATAGTTGATCAAGGTTTCTGCTTTACTTTTCTAGTGAATCAGATCTTTGGCTTTACCGTCTTACTATTCGGAGAATGGACTCTGTTAGGGGTGATATCTCTCTATCTTAAGTCAGTCATTTCTACCGGCTCCGGGTAACTTCCTTTAGGAAGGAAAGCAAGTCCCATAGATTGAGCTGTTGATGGAATGAATGGAATAAGGGTTGCTTTCAAACCTGAAACAGGTCCAGGTCTTGGAATCGGGCTAGGAGCAGCTATTTAATTTGTTTATGGCGGTGTGATAATGCCAGTCGAAAGGGAAAGGCGATGACTATTTGTTCTTACTCTTTTTCCAAAGGCCCTAGAGTAATAAAAAGAACTCTTCTTTCAGCTCAGCTCTTGTGAAATGGTCTCTGTGGTTCGCTTGCCCTTGTGACTATGCTTTCATTTCTATGGTGAACGTCGACTCTTCACTCTTGCTTTCCTACTTATCTTAATAATAATTCCGCCGTATTTAACTACGCTCTCAAAATAAGTGCTTTAGTCTACGAGTCTTAGGGGAAGACCTATCCCTAAAAAGGCATGTCTTAGAAGGTCAGTATAAGACAAAGTGGGAAAGATTTATACGCAACAATACCGACAGTAGCTGAAGCTAGCTTTCTTAGCGAATTTACTAATTCAAACATATGACATATGACGATCGTTTAGAGCACCCACCTCCTGTGGGGGTCTCATCCTCGGGCATATCTGTTCCAAAGAGAGATCAAAAAGGAGAGATTTGCTCCTATGGGAAATTCTTCCCCTGCTTGATTTTCCCCAAATCCAACTATTTGATTTGTTAGGCTTTCCTATCTATGTAGGGTTCCCTCCCACTGGCTATGCAATCTAGCAGGGTCCATTCACTTCAATTTCCTTATATGCAAGCTCGGGGAAAGGTCAACGACAACAGGCTTCTTTGTCAAAGACATATCGAGTGAAATTTCATTCTTTCGTAACAATTGGCTTATGCCATTTACTGATGAAGATTAGGATATTATCCCCACGGGACATCATGAACCACTAGAATGGTGGTCCACTCGATAGCCTGGAAACGACTCCTCCATTTATTAGTTATTAGCCCGCCATAAGACAGGGAAAGGAAGCTAGCGGATCCACTCGCAGTCATGCTCTTCTCCTCGCTCGTCTAGGAAAATGATCTCGGGTAACCTATTCAATGACTGATGTTTTAAACACTCTCACCTGCGTATCCTTATCCCTATCCCTTTTTGATGAATCTCACCTTTCCCTCGTAAACTTGAATTGGAATTCTGCCACTCTCGATAAAATTGGTATCAACCCCTCGAAGACGGACATTTCAAGTGTGCCGGAAAAAAAAGCCTCTTTTGGGCCTATTTGCCTAGGTTCTTGTGAATGGGCTCAAGAGATTCATGATCTTAGGTTTGAATGAAAGAGTAGGATCAGGATACGAACGTAGTCGTTGGTAAAGAAACTTTAGTTTAGAATGCGAGAAGATATAGACTTTCCCGTTGAGATAGATTCGCATGTTCTTGCAGACGTGGACTATAGAGATTTTACCACCCCCGGATTCTATTATTTCGTTGTCAAGGGAAGTATCTCTCTTGGTGTCGGGAACACAGCTTCCAATTCCTATACTCTTTGGGAGCCAAGTCGTATAGCTTAGGCCTTTCCATCGTACTTCTCTTGATGCCATCAAGCAAGGCGCTTGGTCTTAATGGTAACTGACCTGGACAATTCTCAATATCATCTAAATGAAAATATAGTTAAAATAATAATATATTAATCAACTCTATTTGCTAAAAGAACGTCTCTTTTGGCCCTCCCTATAGATTATGCCTTTCCCTTGGCACATGAAAGAAGGGAATCCAGTGTGAATGCTAGCTCCGCTCCAAGGAATTGCCTTAGGTCTGAGCTTGACTATGGAGAGTTTTTCTTTCGTAAGGTACTGGGGATATCTTTGACTATATTTACTATCCTTATAGTAAAGGGTCGATATTTAACTAAAAATATAGAAAAGGAGGGTTAATCTGGTCCTCAAGGGTATGACCTATCACTCAAGACCTGCCATTCTCTTTACTCCGACAGGCAAATCACTACTAATGTAGACTACCGTAATTTTAAGCCCCTCAGCTTCAATGCTAATAATTCCTTTCCTTTTGCTTCTGCATGAGAAGATTCCTTACCCTAGCTTCGTAGTCTAGGTGTGTCTATACGGAGTGATTAAGCCTTAAATGCTACGGATTATACTATAAGAGGACCCCCTATCTCCAGCCCAGCACCACAAAGCCTCATAGAGGTTGAAGTTTGGAATGGAACTCCACTAGCTTTTCTTTTTATCATTCACCTTCTTTTGGATGAAGTGACTTGGCGCTTTTATGATAACACGAGCTAAGGTTTCACTAAAGAGAATCGAGGTTTGAAACCATCCCAAAGGGTCTTTTGTCTTGGTGTTCCCGTTGCCTTACCACTTCCATTATCCTTTCTCTATGCAAACCCTGGGTAACCTTCACTGCCTTTCCTCTGTCTTTCTACTTCCTCGGAAGTAGAGCATCTTCCGCTCCTGGCGATTCCGCTTACTCCAGCCAAGTTAGCTATTGGACTAAGACTAAGGGATGGCTCATTGATAGTAGCTTGTCGGAATGACTGTACAGGTACTTCGGCGAAGGGACAAGCACTGGATCTTCCATGCCGTCACTATCTGAGAATCATCTTTCCATGGCCGCATGTCTATTGGTATACTGAAATGGAGCAGGTACTTTTTCAGTAACTCTTTCTGAGGAACATAAGAAGAAAGAAATGGATGCCCTCTCCGGCTGTTCATAGTCACGAATCACCACTGGCTTTCATTCGTACCTGATCCTCCTCCCCAATCACATATACTTCTCTACTTTTGCTTGCAGTGATAATATCACATGCGGAAGCGCGCGTACGCTAGAAAGACGTATAAGCAAGCCTTTTTTTATGAGTATGAGTCAACCAAGCCGCTTCAAAGAACAAAGGTCTCTGGAATTCCGACTGAGGTCACTTTGCAGGTAAAAAAGAAGAAAGAGGGTGGTGATCGGATTTGACTAGAGGCAGATTCCGGACAGCAGCTTCTGGGAAAAATGACATTCCATCTTAAACAGAGCTCTATCTAAGCTCTAATACACACGACTGAACCCTGGAGACTTTTGCCTCTCCATGTAAACTGAGAGCCTAGGTACCCAACATCAATGATTTTGCTTTCAATCTTTAAACTTCCCACATCTGAAGAACTTGCTTCCAGAGCCAGGCTTTCAGACTCTCCATAGGTTTTGCATAGAGAGAAATCAATAAGCACTCGCTCTTCTTCTCCTGAACTACCTTCATATGAACGAACTGAGAGTCATCCTGAAGGACATCCACTGATATATCTTTTCTCTTCCACAAGACAAAAATCCCACCTTGAGGTTCTAACCGATGCGATGACGGTTTTAACCACTTTCTCGGCCTTCTCGCCACTGACCCAAGTTTACAAAATAAAAGCACAACTCTCTCAGGTGAATTAAGTCCATTCTTACACCATGAAACCTCAGCGGCGATTCCAAACTCGAATCTTCCACACAATAAGAAAAAGACTATACCACCCATGTGTGCAGTGGGGCTACCCATCATATGACAAGCAATCCGGCTGCATTTGTCTCATCTCTAAAAAAATGATATTGGTAGGACACCTTTGTGATGACTGCCAAAGCTATGCCATCTTTATTCCAACTTCCTCTGTGTTGTCAAGGATCTACACACGCATAATGTTATAGCTATAGGGTGCCGCCCGTAGCCAACCCCTATATGGTTGAGACCCTAATTTTCCTCTTATTTATTTGTGGCTTCTTCATAACAAAGAGCTTCCTTATGGCAACTAGGGGCTTTATAGGGGTCCTCTTGTTGTTTGAAAGGTAGGTTTTGTCAGAGATTAAATGGAAAGGAAGGGAAGAGGTTACTCACCAACCAACAGGAGGAGGATATGAAATAGAGCACTAACAACCGTTCTACTCGAGCGGAACTTCTAACTGAAGCTTCTCACGTTTTTCAGCAGGGTCTGGGCTACGGGGTCCTTTTCCAACCCCTCTCTTATGCGTTCGGGGATGGCCCCTTTGAGTTGGCTCATGTATGCTATCTCTTATAACTTGTTGGATGCTAACTCGGCCTTTCGACTTAGTGCGTCGACAACTTGATTGGTCCTCCTGGGCTTGTACTCGAGGACCATGTCGAACCCCACCAGAAAGTCTTGCCACCGTGCCCGCTTGGGGTTGGGCTCTCTTCTGAGTAAGGAAAGAGATCGTAGCCACGTTATCGGTCTTGATCACGAACCTTGAGCCCAGCGAATAAAACTACACTGCGCTCCAGCAATTCAATGATCTCTGTGACTTGGCTATCAAGGTCACTCGCCACGAGCGCTTGCTGCGAAAAGTCGGACTTGATGCAATGGTGGCGGAGATCAAGATAACTAAGCCAGTTGTTTGCCTTGCTCTACGCAAAGCCCCACCCAATAAGGCTGCCATGCTAAACAAGCCTGGTATGGAGCGGACTGCAGGCAAATTTGCCAATCGGCCACGTGACTTCACGTACGATGTCTCAAAGGCTGATGAGATCTATGATTGCTTGGAAAAAGTAGGTTTAGTTGGGTCCCCAGAGCATCAAGTCCAGTTAGACGCACTAAAGGGACAGAAACCCATATGCTAGTTTCATGCCAGTAATAGTCACGCCACAGCTGACTGCGTAGCCTTCTGCCGCGTAATACACGACAAGATTGATGTTTCCCGATAAGCAAAAATGGATGTTGATTGACAAGTAACCATTTCCCAAGACCGCGTAGGCAGCGCTAGTGTATATTCATGACCACTACTTTTATTTGTCGATATAGTCAGTGTGTCGCGAGTGCTTTATCTCTTTTGTCCAACTTGACTTCTTTCTTCCACATAGGCCTTGCTTGCATGCCTTGTGGCAAACTAGACTTTAAAATGGTTTATATAAATAAAGAAGAGTCACGCTCTTGAAGCCCTAAGAAATAGGCAACATCGGTTTGAATCCGAATTGGGGTGGGGCTCTTTCTCCGGAACTTGAGAGTCACTTACCAAGAAAAGATGTTGCTAGGCAGGAGGTTATTATAATAGAGGTGCCTTCAAGTAGAAATGAAATTTAGCCGACACAGAAAAACTGAAGAAAAGCTAAAGGCTTTCTCCCTCCATATCATATGCATTACCTATAGCATTCGACCCCTTCCTCTTTGTAGGAATTAAGATCTTTCTACTCTTTTCGCCCTACGACTCCTCATGATGAAAGCTACTTCGCACCTTGAGTCTGCTTTCTATATTAAAAAATAGATCTCCCTTGAGCTTGGACAATTGGGCAAGCCGAACCCTGTACAGTAGAAGTTTCAGCTATTATTGATCCAGTTGCCACCTCTTCACCATGTTTGGATGACACCGGTTCTTTTGAAGCAGATAAGGGCATTTATGAATCGTCTCACTTGCCTGCGAACATAGAGAAAAACTATTCAAATTGAGCTGATGGTAAAGTAAGCTACGTTAAATAAAGCCTATCTTTTATGGGGCAGCTATTTCCGTACCGGGAAGAAGTTAAGGTGTCAAAGTGCGACACTAATCAATCTTGTCAGCAACGCTAGTCTGGAGATTTTTTCTCAAAAAAGGATCTGACCATATTGGTCAGAATAATACGTATAGGCAGACGAGATTCCTACCTTTTTTCCTTTATAGAGAAGCGGGGTGACAAGATTTGATAGATGCCAATAATCCACAGTCTGACTGGTCAAGGCATATAACTCTCAAGCTCCCGACCGCAGGCCAAAGAGATCTTCTGACATATTTACAAGCCATCTCAACAGGCGTCCATTTCCCTTATATTAGCCAAGCAAACAAAAAATTTTTCTGCTATCCGGTGATATTAAAAGGTTTCTTATTCATCCACATTCCAGGCTCGGAATGCCTCTTTACGTAAGTCTTTATTAGCCAGCTAACAGCTAACGGGGCCACGAAGCGCCCAAGGAATTGCGACTGCTCGATACCGGCCGATTCCTGCTTTAATTGAGCTCTGATGGCATGATGCTAGGTCTATTTACAACATTGACCGCGGTATCCTGCTTGCACGGACGACGTGTAGGATTGCCGTAACGTAATATGAATGGTTGAATGAATAAATTATGATTAGTAATGTTATTTCTTTCATCCTTGTTCGGCGCTTGTTATTGAGTTGGTGTAAAAGAGGGCTAAGCCCAAGACAAGAATTCCAATAGTTCACTTTTTCGTTTTAGCGCTACTTGGATACTTCAAGCCAAGATCAGGACGATGGGTGGGAGATAGGGGCATGCATCCAAGATCTTATTTTCTCGTTGTTGCTTGTAACATTATTAACGAGAAAAAGTGGCAGGCTCTATTTTCATGCTTAATGTTGTCGCCTTCGAAATCGATGCTTAAGTCGATCGACTTGCATTGGTGGTCTCTCTCTTCCCTCATCGCATGCGCTTCGCTTCGACCAGGTTTTAAGCCTTTGATTGTCCGGTAGAGTAGATTTCATCCCTCGATCTGGTCTTCTGTAACAATCTAATCTTTAACTTTATGAAAGCTATTTTATTGGGGATCCTAGATGGGGAAATAGCAAGTATCTTTTTTGGCTGACTTACAGCCGGGAGGCCAAGGGAGGCGTTTGGTCTGCTTGTCGCATACTACTAACCTAACAGCGAGTCAATCTATCTATCTATATATTCTTGATGGTACGAAGCCTTTTTTCAAAGCCCTAAGGCGGGCCTTATATCTTTTTTTTAGTTTAGTAACCTAACCCGCCAGATACAAGTTTTGCAAAGTAAAGACATTCTTCAACGAGTGAAATCGAAACAGCCGCACAAGCATACGCATAATCAGGCACGGCATATGCATCATCAGACGCGGAAGGAATTTTATAATTTTTCTTTCTTATTCTTATTATTTTATTACGTTAAACTGTCACTAGGTTAGGTCATCCCCCCATTTGATCGACAGTTTTACCGCTTTAGCCGACACTGATGCTGCCATTTAGAAATAAAGTAATATGGTTACGACTTGGTTGGTGTTTGGTGAGCCGATCGGAGAATAAAAAAAGATGTTTTTGGCATTTCTATAAGATCTTGAATTTTACTATTTTCATCTTTGAGCGGACCGATACGCATTCAGTTAGCTTTCTTACAGCATATAGGCTCACAGCGGATACGACAAGACCGCTTATTCACTCAGCAACAACAGCGCATTCAATAGCAGCATTCGATTCGATGCTTCTTACCTATTCTATTTGTAAACAACCAACCGAGGGGAAGTCAGCAGGAACCACAGCGGACCTGTAGGATTGGTGAAAGAGTCTTGCAACAGTCTGTACAGGCCCCTTTACAAGCAAGCTAACAAGAACGAGGGAATCTCCAAACCAAAGAGCCGAAAAATAGCACGTAACCTGTTGAAGATAAAATAACCTTTTAGTTTAAGTATAATTAGGTCGGGATTAAAACCAATCAAATAAAAAAAGAGATAGGCAGCGAACATAACCGGTGACAGGATAATCAAAGAAATTATTATATTAAGTGGCGAAATTAAGATTTAAGAAAGAAAGACATTCCATGACCTCTAAAATTTCATGACACATTTTCTATTGATGGAGAAAGATATTATTACCTAAGTGCTTGTCTGTTCCTTGACGCGGAAACTTATGGAGAACACATCTCACTGAAACCGAACCCAATCCTCTCATCTTAACTCTGACACCAATCTTCACAAGACGGCTCTTGACCAATTCCTTTTGTATCGTACCTGGTCGAGCTCTATCTTGTACTTCCCTCCCGACTTTCAATTTATTTCTTATAAACCTGATCCACATCCAACATCAGCAGTCTCTGTTGGTCCTCTTTTCCGCGTTAGATCAGAGCAAGACCTGTTAGAATCATCCCCAACATTTCCTTATTTAGTCAGGCCCAGGGTTAACCACAGGAGCAACCTTGGTTTTTCTTGACTCTCTAGCCCTACCTGGAACATTTACATTTCAAGTTCAATCTGAACCCTACTAAACGATTCCTCCCGGAATGAAAAGTACGCTTTATCGTTCCACTTCTTTCTGAACTCAGACAAGATTTCACTCGAGTTCAAGCTTTCGTCACTTAGTCAGAAGGGATCACCTTGGCATGTCAATGAACCGGCGCTACCAGACCTTGGCGTCTCCGCTGGGCGGGGCTCACCGCAAACCTACTTCCTCTTGGATCCTTTCCCATTGCCCTTTTCTTTCCAATTTCAACTCCAGTGGCCTGGTTCTTTTCTATGTAATTCTTTGAGTCGTTTTGTGTCTACCGCCTCATCCTCAGCCTCTTCCTACCTAAATAAGGCCCCCCTAGTCCTTCTTATCTATTCCTTAGAAAATGAAAGATTCATTCTTTAGCCAGATCAACATCCTTCTTCCTATTACCTATCTCCAGATCAAGATCCTAACATGATTAAAGCCATAACTCTACTATTGAAGTACTTAGTAATCCTACTTCCAATTCACTATCTACTTCCTTCATCAGCCCTCCTCGATAGCTACCTTTGAAGGGAAAGCTGGCTAGACCAAGCCTAGTAATTAATTTAATAAGAGGGACAAAGGCCACTCAGGTCTATATCCAGAAAGGAGGCTGGATTAGAAGATTGAGAGACCCGGGACTGTGCAGGTTTGTAGAGAGGCTAGAGCATTCCCTTCATAAAAATAGAATAGTAGGTAAGAATCACTAGCTAGAAGTTGACTGATAAGGGTAGAGTTTGCAGTAATCGATGAGAGAATGGTAATGCTAAAGGTAGGAAGAAAGAAGGCTCATTCTATGCTGACCACTTACTATGGCTCTTCTCTCATTTGATTTGAGAATCTTATTTAAGTCATAGGCTATCGATTGGGGGAAGAAAGCATGCCTTTGTTGGTCACCATCACCACCATCGTTAACATCAGTACACTCCTAAATAAGGCCTACCTCCCTTCCATTCAACCAGAGCAGCGATGAGAACAGAGACTAAATTAGCTAAGCAATGCATCAACGGGAGGATTATGAAATTATCTTCTCATATGACATTCTACTTTGAGCAAGTCACTTATGCCTATTCCTTGATAGGAGAGGGAAAAGCATTAGGTTGGCCAGTACCAGAACGATGATGAATAAGTCAGAGGTGGGTAGGTGGGAATCTGAGGATTAAACTTCTGTTGATGAATGCATTCATACCATCATCTTTATCCCTTTCTCATTATAGGCCAAGCTCTTCCCTTCTTAAAGTACTTTGCCTTCGGCATCTCACTTGAATTGGAGAATGTATTAAGCATAGGATCATCCAGAGTCTGTAAAGTCTACCTCGCTTAGCTCAACCTTATCCATAGACGATCTTTATCTCTTAATTGCTATGTTACTCTTTGTAGTAGGTAACTTTCTATACCTGAGCCACTTTACTAACCCTTAGCTTGTGTTCGATACCTCACGCCTTCACTTAATCCAAAAGCTTGGCTTGCTTCGTGTTCCAACTCAGCGATATGAATACCATCGTTAGCAATAACTTCCCCTTCTCCTAATCCCTTTATCCCCTCTCCCAATCCCTTCTTTCAGTTGAATGTTTGCAAAGTCCGATAGAGTGGAAGAGAGAGTGGGATTAAGAGACTTAGAGGACATACAGAGACTTTAAACAGGTCTGAAGCAGGAGTAAAGATTGGCAGTGAGGACGAATTAGATAACTGCTCAACAAAGAAGAAAGCAAGACCGAGCCAAACTCTCTGGTAAGTAACCCCACTCTCGGATAAACCGCTTCTTCGCCTAAAAGAATACATCGGAGAAGAGCATGCTGATTGAAAGAATCACATGATTAGATCGGAAACCAGAATCAAAGAAAGACTACCTCGAACTCCCGCACTGGAAATCTACCGATTCACACTCCAACGTCTATTTCACTCCAAAATCTGTCGATTCATAGCTTCACCAATCGTACGCTTATTGAACTAGACCAATTTTAGCTTAGGCTTTGAACTAGACCGACCCATCCTCCGCTTCTCACTTCCATTCCTCTCCCTTACAATCGCTCACCTTCTTCTTTCTTTGCTTGTAGAGAGGGAAGGTTCTATTTGCTCGGTTGCATGTCATGACTTTATGAGCTTCTTTCCTTATATCCTTTACTTGCCGAGCTGACCCCCTTATATCGGAGCACGTACCTGCCTGTCTACTATTAGACAGGAGCTCACTTCAACGAAGACTCTTTTCAAAATAATCGCTTTAACCCTTCGCCGGTCTTGCTTGCTTTGAAGAGAACACCTACTGTTCGTTAACAGTTCCTTCTCCCCTCGTTTGAATAGGGATTCTGATATGAGAACCTCATTCTTCTCAATAGCCCGCCCATGAAAACCTAGTTTGAAGAGAACACATGCTATTCTCACCCTATACCAGTCATTAAGTCAACTAAATCTTTTCGTTCCATCGATGAGAGCGAAATGCCAGTACATCGAAACTGACGTTAGACAGGTGTGTGTTTGCCCTCTATAACTTGAGATAAATGCCCTTATTTTGCATTGAAAAGAGATGAGATATGTGCTTCAAAGAGAATGGGAATGAGACAGGACAGCGGGATTCTTCTCATCTTGAGTGCTCAAAGGTCTTACTTTTATTCTCTCCCCTAGGCGGATTTAGAGCCCCCTCCCTTACTGAATGAATCCCTCACAGGCTGAACCAGTACCGATATCGACCGACCTGTTGTCAATCTTAAGGCAGGCCTCCCTTACTTGAAATCTCTAAGTCTCAATCTATGGGAGATATTCATAATTATTAACTGATAAATCGAGACTACGCGACACATTTCTTCCACTGATGAGCTTTCTCGGTCTCGTGACGAGCTTTATCACGCCCTGAGCATCTCCTCCTGTAAAGGGCTCTATCAAAAGCCCTGTATTTGAATTGGTTGGCTTTTTAGATTATCAAATGCCAGTGTAGTTCCTCCTTAGAGGCATTCCAACATGTAGCCCATTATCCGACCTTTCCTTTCACTCTGCCTCTTTTTCTGGGTTGGGACTTACGATTGATTCGCCGAGCGGGAGTGACATGACTTTTGCTATCTATGATGGTTCAGGAGTCATTGAAGCAAGCAGTAGTCATAGTGCTGGTGAGCTGGAGTCAAGTAATCCGAATGTTGTAGTCTTTTTGGGAAGCATAGTTTTGGTTGTCTTACTGGCCGTAATGCTTGCTTCCAGGATTGAATAGTGATTGGGCCTATCCTATCTAATTAGTGAGTATTTGTAGAGCCTTTTTCCGTGCTTCTTGATGTTTATCTTTATCGATCGGGACATCTTTTTATTTAGTTTTGAATCCGGAGAAAATTCAACACGTACATTAAGTGGATTGAGAGATGAGTCTAAGGTTCAAAGAAAGGCTTTAGCTGCCCATTCTGGAACACGAACATGAAGCCTAATCCTAGTACTATACTAGTAGGTAGGGCTTATTATGGAATAGGAATAGAAAGCCTGGGAGGTCCCCCCGTGTTTACTAGCATATCTAG